CTTACTCTAAAGAGTGCGGGAGAAGATTGTTTGGTGAGAGCTCCGAACTTAGCCTGAAACTTTACCGGTCGGATGTTTGTCTGCAGAGCCGCCGCCATTTCAGGATTGTCTTTGTTTTTCGGATTTTGAGACTCTTTGAGTAGGTCTTTGTATTTATGGGTCCTTTTTTTGTAAGTTATTTTATTTTCATTATCGGTCCCCCCAACTTCTTATTTTGTGATGGAACTGCTTACATTTTTAATTAGTGACATTTATATCCACCAACTCTTGAGTTGCAGCTAGCTATACTCTTTTTCTCTAGATGGTGATCTTAGTATAACATATTTTGCTTGAACGATTTAGCAAATACAAACAAACATCGAGTTTTATTTAATGTTCACTCTTGGATTGGTTCTTTTCTTTGCAGCTAAACCAAACTTCCGTTTGAGACAGAGACTATAGCATCAAGGGATCTCAGTATCTCTTCACCCATTCTCTTGCACCCTACCAATGTCTGTCAAAGAAACCATGTTGCTTACCATTTTACTTAAATGTTTTTTTTAGCCAAAGGAAAAAGAAAGAAAGAATGAATGGATAACATACAGTTCCAGGAGTGTGAATGTCACGAGTTCTGAATCCGCGGTCCAGGACATCTGAAACTGCCTTTTCTATCCTCTTTGCAGCGTTTTCCTCTTTCAGTCCATACCTAAACAGCATTGCAGCTGATAGCACAGCCGCTAACGGATTTACTGTGTCCTGCAATCCCCAATGTGTTGAAAATATTTACATACACAAAAGTGGTTTCACATTCAGCATCATATCATGTATCAAGAAGATTTGTGAGGCGACCTTTCCGTAGTGTTTAGGTGCAGATCCATGAACGGGTTCGAATATTCCAGGTCCCTGTAACATGATATCAAGAAAATGAGATCATGTTTAAGAAGAAAAAGAAAACAGGATATGAATTATGTTGCAGCGTACTGAATCACCAAGGGCAGCAGATGGAAGCAAGCCTACACTTCCAGGGATCATGGCCGCGAGATCGGAGAGGATATCACCAAACATGACTCCAGTCAAAATGGTATCAAACTGAAGACCTCACAAGATTGACGCATTTTGTTAAAATCATTGTAGTCTAGACAGAATGTCACCAAACATGACTCCACTCCAAAATGTTCATAATTAAACTGGCTTTACTTAAAAAGAAAAAAGAAAACCTGTCTTGGGTGCCGAACAAGATCCATGGCAGCGGTGTCAATGAGCAGATGACTCACTTCAACCTCGGGGTACTCTAAAGCCATTGCTGTGACTCTTTTCCTCCACACCATTGATCCCTGCCCTCAAGATACGGTTACTGAATAATAAATATCTCATTGTTTTATAGTCAAGGTCAAGAAGTTCAATGCTTCGTGTTAGTATATATCTCATCGTTTCAATATTCAGCTAATAGAAGTTTAATGCAAACATCAGGAGTTTTACTACCTCAAGGACAGTAGCCTTGTCAACAGAGCAAAGTTTACTGCGCCGTTGCTTGGCAATATCAAATGCAACACGAGCAATATGATCGACCTAAGCAAAACCAGAAAACAGATCCGTCAACAAGACATCATATAACTTTTTCCAACAAGAACACAAAAAAAAGTCAGCATAAACATGATACCTCACTAGCAGAGTAGGACTCAGTGCAGAAACCAACTTCATCACCTTGTTCATTAGTGGTAAAACCCCGAGGATGCGCATTGTAAATACCTAATTTTCAGCAAAGAAAGACACAATCTATGATAACAAGAAGCAAATCTCTGTTTCTAAGTGAATGAACATTGGTGGTGACTGACCTCCGGTTAGCTCCCGGATGATCATAAGGTCAACACCTTCAGCTGTGTCTTTTCTCAGATAAGTCGAATCAACTAGCTAAGACATGTCCCGAAGTTGAAAGAAGATCAAGTCACAGGCCCTAATAAACAATATAATCAATGAAGTGTGTGAAAGATACTACCTGTGGAAACACAGTGATGGGTCTTAAATTGGAAAACACTTCAAGACCCGCACGAAGCTGCAACAACGCCGTTATTGGCTTCAAATGCTTTGGATTGTTATCCCATTTCGGCCTTGAAAGCAAAAACACCAAACCTTTATAGTTAAATCCAAAAAAATTACAAAACCAAACAATTTGTGAAGAAACTACCATCCAACAGCTCCGAGGAGAACAGCGTCTGATTCCTTTGCCTTTCTCAATGTTTCCTCCGGCAAAGGAACTCCGACGAGATCTAGAGCAGCGCCTCCTATAGGCAGCTCCTCGAACCTCAAATCTATCCCTGTTGCAAAAAAAGAGACATCACTGTGTGAAGTTTTTGAATCTACAGCTCGAAAACTCAAGTAAATTAGATCGGAACCTTCGAGGGATCCAGCTAGACGAAGAGCTTCGACGGCGATGGGGATGACTTCGTTGCCGACGCCATCGCCGGGAAGCACCGCTATGGTGTACCGTTTCTTCGGTGTGTTGGCGGCGCATCTGATCGCAGTGCCTCTCCTAAGGGTCTGTTTGGTTGCGGAGATAAACGCAACCGGAAGCTGGATACTGCTGACGTGTATTCCTAGAGCTCCCGCCATTTTAGTTCGGACAAGAAAAGAAAGCTAAAACAAATACTATCTACTAATCTCAAAATTATATCACGTTACTAAAACTCACTACTTTGTTATATGTTTGCTATCCCTATT